TTTAACTTCATGGTAATAACGCGGATTACCGTGCAGTAATGTTGTGGTAATGAAAACTTATCCCTTAAAAACTATTTATTACAAATTTAGCCACATTTGGATGTAATTTTTTTGGTTACAAGCTTTCGGAAAATACGATTCCCTTCATCCAGTAAATTTCTAGTAAATATCTATTACCAATCAGATAAAACAGTATTACCAGATCAATACCAGGGTATGCGTAACTTCACTACATCTTTAATAGTATACATATTAATTAAATCGGTCATAATTTTGCACAATATATTTGCACATTCGTAATATATAGGATTCTGTGTCGAGGATTAAGATGCAGATTGCACATCTCTCACAGTCATGTTGCATTATGTAGAAGCTTGGAAATCAATATTTGTCAAAACGGAGCAGTGCAACTGAAGCCTTACATTACATTGCAAAACTACTGCAAAACTCATCTCGTGCAGATTGACTGGTTAACTAAACCCGTAAAATTCCAGTGTTTATTGCGCATCAATATAAATATTTTTTATAATACCGAGCAAGCAATTGTATTCATGCGCAAAAAGTACATAATATTGCAATTATTTCTATCAATTTACCTCTCATTCATATTAGTAAAAGTTTTTAATACTATTTATTTTCAGCCACCAAGTATTTCTCCAGAGTAGTATATAATTTGATCTCGAAAATTCCAGAGATTTTTAAATAATTCAGAATTGCTGATAATCCGTAAGAAATCTATAAAAAAATTAATTAAAGATAATTTCACCTGTAATTATGGCTCTTTCTCCTTAAAAACGTTACAAGGAGCATACATATTCTGCATTGTACCAAATTTTAATTTTCTACAAAATTTTGAGGTCCAAAAATTCATTTTAATTTCTTACTCAACTATTTTTTGGAACAATTCCCTTTCCTAAAAAAAGCTTTACCATTCAGCATTCAAAATTTCTCAAAATTTTCTCTCTCTCTCTCAAAATTCAGTCCCCTCATTATTTACAGTGCACCTCGGCATTTTTAATTTAACGACAAAAGGATCCTGTCAGTGTGACAATTGTGGAGAGAATGAGCACACACTGCAACTCGAGAGATATGCGTCTCCACGGACCACACAAAACTTTTTTGCACAAATTGTCTCTCCCCTATTTTTTGCAAAAAAAGGTGCAAAAAGTGAGATGGAACTTAATAAAGTGAAGGAGACAGATGTATTTTAATTATTTGGGGAGTTTCAAATCTTTTTCGGGAATTTATTCTGTTTGTAAATATTCCCGTGTGGCGTGTAGGGGGGGGAGAAAGGAATTGGGAAATATTTGGTGGTGGTTTGGTTGGGGCAGCTTTATCAATTTATTTATCACGTTTCCCCCGAGTCGATAAGTGGTTTTGTTAGTTTGACAATTGAATTACTACCCTTTTCCAGACGGCCAGAGACCTACAAATCTACGAGCTGAATGAGAGAGTGAGTTGGAAAGAGAAGAGAAAGGCTGAGGAGAAAGTCCTTATGTAACTCAGCGTATGTGTGTCTGTGTATCGTGGGGTGCTGGAATTTTGTAAAATTGGTGTCCAAATCAAATTTTAAGCTTTACTGGTTAACATTTACCAATGGAATTTATAAATTATTTGCCAAATTTAAGACTTACACAACTAGATGGATTTGCGTTTTTGGTGACAATTTTGCAAAACTGGTGATAAAATTCCCACTAAAAATACATTAATAAATCAATCGTCTGTTGTCACAATTTACATACATACAAGATAAATTTGCAAATAAATTTCATCTTCGTAAACAGTGGAAAAGCAAAATTAGAATTTAAAATGATCGAAAAATTCAATAGACCAATGAGTCATAAAAAATAAGAAAGACATTCATGGCACGGGTTATGCGAAGTAGGTAGGCTCACTCATCCTTTTATAATTACTCAATAAGTTATAAAATTACGTGGGATTTAAAATACTCAAAATATACATTCCTTCAAGACGTGATTCCCAAAAAAGACCCAGATGACCCGGGCTCCGCGAAGTATCTCTGCTTCCCTTTTCTTCACACGGAACGCTATTCATCTTGTTTTCTGGCAGAGCGATAGATTCTCTCCCTGCCCTCCTACATACTTACGTACGTACGTGGTATTGATTCGAAATTCGACCAGGACCAGATTTGGGCCTTATTTATGCCAACTTTCCCCCCATTTATTTACTCCTCGGTCAACTTATTTCTCTTCTTCTGGTGGGACAGAAAACAAGAAAAATGTTGGTGTGACAAGTGACATGGAGAAATTGATCGGCTTTCCGCTGTCCTCGCTCCCACGATGCGTGCTTGCTTAATAAGATTGCGAATTAGTGGATTTTCTGACCAATGTGGAATTTTGGTAGCACATTGTGGAGAAAGTGGTTAGTTTTGTGGTCAATGTTACAGTGAAAGTGTGGTATTTTTTTGGTAACGGCGAATATTCTGAGAATTATTAATGCCGTGAATTAGTGGATTTTACTAATAAAAATTTATTGGTTGGTTGGTATCACGTAGTGGAGAGGGTGGCTAATTTAGTAGTGAAAGTTACAGTGAAATGGTGGTATTGTAGAGATTCAGAGAATAATTTTTATGGTAAAAAGGTCGCGGATTAGTGGATTTTGCTCTTTAAAATTTCGTAATCGTAGACATAGTGTTGGTGAAAGCTACAGTGAAAGCGTCGTTTTTTTAATTATATAGAAAATTAAAAAAAAATTAATTGTCTCAAATTAATGGAATTTACTCTTCAAAATTTTAAGGTAGTGGAGAAAGTGGTAAATTTAGTGGTGAAAGTTACAATAAAACTGCGGTATTGTAGCGATTCTGAAAATTATGATGGTAAGTGAAGTTGCGAATTAATGTATTTTAATTTCTTAAGTTAGTATCAAATTTTGGAGAAAATTAAGGCTAACTCAAAGGTGAAAGTTACATTGAAAGTATCGTATTTTGTAACCGTATCGAAAATCCTGCGAATTATTCATGTCACAAATTAGTGGATTTTACCCTTCAAAATTATGTGAAATTGTGGAGAAAGCGGTTAATTTATGAAGTGAAAGTGGTCCCTATTTTGTGCGGGGTGTGGTTAGCCCATCCATTTCTTCTTCGTGTGGATTCTTGGAATTATTTGTGATGATGGATTTGATGCGTTACGAGCGAGCTAAGCAGCGGTCTCGGCGGGGGTTTGGTTTCTCGCATCGTGATTAATTAATTGTGCGTGATACGAATCGGGGCCTAATCGCGGGATAATTGATTGATTGAGGGAAAGGTGACGGCATGCCAAATGCGAGGGGAGGACGGGGCTGACATTTATTAAAAAAACATAGATCGGAGGCCTCAAGTTCAGTGGGTTTCTGGCAAAAAGGAAGGTTTCTGAAAAAAATCGAGGCCTTTATATTCCTGGAAAAATTGAAGCCTTCGAATTTATGGGAAAAATTGAGGTCGCTTGGTTTCTTGAAAAATTGAGGCCTCTTGGTTTCTCAAAAAATAGAGACGTCCCGATTTCCGGTACAAATCGAGACCACCTGGTTTCTAACAATATTCAAGGCCTCTCGGCATTCTTGGAAAATTGAGGCCTCCAGGTTCCTCCAAAAAATCGAGGCCTTCCTATTTTTTTTTTTTTGAATCCAAACACCTGGGTTTTCTAGCTTTCCACATATTTACATTTACTCCGAGACAAAAATTCTACCCGTTTTACCTTCTCGACTTACTACGTTCTACGTAAAATCGGAATTTCGACTTATCTCTGTAACTTCAAATTGTTTCAATTACAGAGATCTTTAACTCCACGAATTTTTAACAAGTCTCAAATCATAAATTTTGAACACGTGTTTTCCCATTAAGTGAAAAACTGTGAATTTATCACATTTGCCAGATCCATGTCCTGCTACACGGGTAAACCTAATTTGAACTCAATTCCGAAAAAATTAGATTTATTTCGTACGAACAGAATTATTTGAACTGCGCCGCCACGCAGGTATCATATCCGTCACACTGACAAACAGTGGCCGCGGAAGGTTGTCGAAATTGTCCCCTTGTCCCCACTATAATTCGATATCCGCATCATCTCCCCATCTTATTTAAACCCATCCCTCCCCTACCCTTCCATATTAATGTCCCCCGATGTCCCCACCCCTTCCGCGGCCCCTGCTCCCTCGCACGACACGACACGAGAGGTTCAAGAGAGACCTGAAATTGAGCCATGATTGACTTTCAGCAGAGTCAAGTGGGCAAAAAGTAGAGTGAAAAATGAGCACGGAATTCAATTTCCAAAATTCGTTTACGTTTTCGTGACCTCTTCGCACTCGTGGAGAAAACACTTTTTTCCTAGGAAATCATTTGTCGCGTTAATATTTCCTAAAATGGGAGCGTTGTATGGTACCAGGGACATGAAAATAATAAAGTTTACTCGAATGTGGGAAGTGAAAGTTTCTAAATAACTGGTATTTTGGAATGAAAATGTAATATTCGCTATTTTCTCATGAAACCAAAATTCTAAAAAGTGTGAAAACACACCCAATATTTTTGTGAAATTAAATTCCCATCAATTTTAAGAAAACCGACATTTTTCTACGAATAAATAAAATAATAACCGTTCTAAATGAAATATTTGTAATTTTTGCCTTAAAGATATAATTCATTCAAAAATTTTAAAATCAACATAGTATCAACATTTTGACCATGAACGCTAAATATTAACCGTTATACAAAATATTCGCCTTTTAATCTAAAATATTTACCATTTCTACTTGGCAAATAAAAGTCCAAAAAATGCTTGACAACAAACCATCACCATTTTGGAGATGCAAATTAAATCCCCACCATTTTTAGCATGAGAACAAACTCATTCTAATCAATCAATGCCTTTCAATAAATTTACTAATTAAATTACTAATTAAATTTACTAAAAAATCCCATGAGCACAATTTGTACTTCTTGATGCACATTTTGCCATTAAAAATTTTAAAAATTAAAAATTTCTGAATTTCATTTTTTCTCTTTGCAGTCTGGGAGAGTGAGATTCGGACGGCTCGTTGCGGAGATGTTGCCGTGACCCATGTGTCCGAGCTGGACTATCCGGACGCAGATCCTCCCTGCCATTTCTGCTGCGAACAAGCCTCCACCGCCATTCATGACGAGTCCAGACTCCAAATCGTCAGCGGAGGTGAGACATCCTCCACTTTCTCCGCACACTTTCTCCCACTTTCTCCTTCTTCAGTAATTACCTCACCGGCAAGAAATATGGCCCGGATTACACGCCACCACTTCCACGACACGCCACCCATCTCAGGCACTCACGTGAGACGAACGGGTGTCTCTCTCCTAAAGTACAACCTCTTAACTTGCACACATTTTTGGGGGGTGTGGGCTTCCCCATTAAGTCAAAAAATAGGGTGTTATTCCCCTTTTTGATCTAAAATGGGTACATTTTTGTGCTAAAGTTACATTTTTTTGGCATAGTTCAATCATTTTATTTCGTAAAATAATTAGTCATTCATGAATCACTCCAAATTCAAATGCCTACCTTTGGCAAATTTTCTGCACAGATTTTCCGGATTTTTATCCATAAAACCCACATTTAGTACATTTTTGTGCTAAAGTCGCGATTTTTTTGGAATAAGCTAACCTGCATTTCTAATTTTTGGATTTTGTCGTTAAACGAAAATATTTTGTCACAAATTTCAATTCTCATAAAATCAGCCAATTTTTGTGCATAAAAACTGTATTTAAAGCGATACGAGCTATGCATAATTATTCATCAACCATGCTGCAGAATAGTCCCGAAAACTGTCCCAGAATTGTGCCAATCTTTCTTCCCAACGTTATTATTAAGACTAATTTACTACATACAATTTTCATACATACAAAACAATTCGGAGGTAAAACACTATGAAATTTTGCAATAAATTTCCACACTTTTGTGTTATTTTTCTTTCGAATTTTGTAACAAAGTATTTTCCGTGTCATGTTTTGGGCGGGGAAAAACACGGTGTTTTACGTAGCGGGGTAGACACTCTTGAGGAGGAAGGAGATTATTAAGGCGAGAAAGCAAAGCCGTTTTGTGATGGGTGGATAAATGGATGGAGGACAAAGAGAGAATTAAGTCGCTCCTCTCTCTCTGGGGGAAACTACTCTCCTGCTTCTCCTTCTTCTTCTGGAGAAAGCAAGCACCAGAAATATCCCACTTCCTCCGCTTCCTTCTCTCATATCGCACAAAATTTCTTCAAAATTGAAAGAATTTTGTAACAAACCTTTCCTTCTGCGATGGAAACTTATCTACTTTAGTATTTATCCTTAATATTGAAAAAATATGATAATAAGAAATTATAATTTTCCAAAATAATGCAATTTTTAACCAAAAATGTACCCATGGTTTCGTCAAAGTTTTTAAAAAATTATGTCCATTCTTCCAAAACTAACTCGAGGGAGAGAAAGCAGACAAGAGAAATATCCCACTTTCTCCTCCTTATTCATCTCATATCTCACAAAATTTTAAAAATTTAAACAACAAAACTCTTTCTTTTTTTGAGAAATGGGAAATTTTCGTAGATAAATATTTCTCCAATAAATTTGAAAAGTGTACCAATAAAATTATCATTTTTCAAATGATTACCTCTTTAACCAAAATGTACCCATGATTTCCTCAAATATTAGTGAAATATACGTGGAGAAAATACACCAAAACTATTTCAGTTTTCAAATTTTTAATGAGATTGTGTTTTCTCTTCGAACCTTTAATTTCATACATAAAAGGCAAGCACTTAAAACTTTGTGGTAAAAAGTACTGTCGGAAATTTCCCAATAACTCGTCCCATTTATGACCAAAATATATTTTCAGAAATATCAAACTCTCCCCTTATCTAACTTTCTCCTTGTAACGTTAATTCCCTACGCAGAATAAATTTCGTTGTCAATTTTTATAAGAAATCGTCCCATTTGTGACTAAAATATTTCCAACAAATGTTAATTTCTCTCTTAATCCAACCCTTCTCTTTATACACGCCTTCACAACAGAATTGAATTTTGTTGCCAATTTTGACCATAAATTTTGCAAAATATTTTCGAAATTCTCCACCATTTCTGACTTTCTCTTTCCTTCCTCTTTCCTTCCTAGGCCTCGTTCGCAGCCGAGATGGGAGTACACGCAGTGGTTCAGCTCCTTACATCAACCTCCCCTCGCCCAACGTGCAAACGGAGGTAAGTAAGAACCCGCCTGTCATACATAAATATCCACGCTTTCTCTTTCTCTCTCTTCCAGTGTTTCTTTTTGTGCCCACGAAATTATTTTTATGCATGCATAGGGCATAAAAATGCACAAAATGCATAAAAACGCATAAAAATGCACGAAAATGCATAAAAATGCATAATAATACATGAAATGCAATTTGTGGTGGGAATTTCATATTTTCAACAAATATTATATTTTTTTACCCTATAAAATGGGGATAAGATTCAGTTATCTAAATGATTTGAAATTTTACCACACTTTCTAACTTGAGTCAAGGCTTACCTATGTATTGAAAAATGAAAAATAGTTTTACACTAAAATACTAAAAAGATGAAGAAAATATCGTAGAATAGCACGAAGGCTTCTCAATTAATCGAATATTTCGAAAAATTGCATTATTCTAATATTATTTACACGTAAATGATTTTCGTGCATTTTCTTGCACTTTTCCGGATTTTTGATGGGTGTTATTAAACGTTTAAAAACATTTTTATGCACTAATTTCGTGCAGGTGTTTTTTAACAGCAGAAACACTGCTCTCTTCCCACCCAAACACCTCGCCCCCCCCAAAAAAAATACTCCTAGTAGACAGTGGCAAAACGTGTCCTTGTCACATGGCGGCGGGTGCGGTGAAAAGTGAAACTTTACCAGCAAAGGGATCAATCTTACTTGACTTTCACTCAATTTTGAGCATCTTTTGCTTAAAGAGAGTGACTGAGCGGGGCGACAAGGGAGACGTCTCGGGGATGGATTGCTCCTCGTGGGGCGACGTGTAGCTCCCCAACCAAAATGTCCTCCACATGTTGTAATAAAGAGCAACTCGGAAGAAATTGGCTTTCTCTGGAAACTTATAAATTTTCTGGGAAACATGTGGCATCAGAAAATATTTAGTGTATGCATGTGACCATCCTCTCAAATTCAAAAGTTTTGAGCCGTGATTCTCCACAATTTAATACATAGAAGGATTACGATTTTATATTGTGTGGTATTGAGAAAAAATCGAAAACTAAAAAGGATTTCTTCGAAAATTTCCACTTTTGAATCCTGACTGTCCACCATTTATCACACACAACAGACGTTGTTCAGTGTTATGAATAAATCTAAAACTAAAATAAATTTCCATGAAAATTTCTAAATTTTTGTCAAAATTTTTGAGTCCTCCAGAATTTAACACAGCGGTACATTACGATTTTACATTGTTTGGTATTGGGAAGAGATCGAAAATCTTGACTCTCGATCGTATATTAATTTTGAACTAATTTGGAGGATGAGTATAGTGATTCTTTGAATTGACAAATTATTAGTTTTCCAGGATTTTGTATGCATGAGTTCTATGAAAATTTGATTTGAATTTATTTGAGTGAAAGCATAACAAAAATGATAAAACATGGTCCAAGTCCATCATGCCATGCCAGACTCGTTTTTTTCACCGAGTGTCGTCTGCATTTTGGATGTGCCACAGTCTGGCGGATAGCAACTTTTTTCGGTCCAAGTCTGTTTCTCTCGTAAAATTGACTTGTAGAGTTTCACTCAATATTATTTGGTCACTCGAGGCAGAGATAATAGATTGAAACCAAGTCAAGTTCTGCATAGTGGATTCTGTCCCATTTTTGGCCCATTTCTGGTCAGAGGGAAAGCACGATACGAGTAAAAGACAGAAGGGTGCGACGATAACGTGTCGATTGGGATGGTGCTTTCTCCTCCTCTTATCTTCTCTCTCCCCCTTCACGGCGACAAAGTGGATTCAATTTCCTGCCCTGACATTCAAATCGGCCCATGCTTTCTCCCACCAGCAACAGTGTTTACCGAGCTAAAAACACTTGTGGTGTAAAGTACTGCTGGAAATTGTGCCATAATTTCTTGCACTAGACCAAGAAATGAAAGAAATAAGCGGAAAATGCAAGTGTACCTACAACTGAGAATGGAGGTTTCCCAGTGTATGCTGTCCGATTTTGGGCGAAATTAGTATCAATCGATCACAATTTGATCAGTGTGAAATTTATAAAAGACCAATGGGCACGTTTCGCAGAGATATTTTCTTCCCAAGAGGAAAAAACGTGCAGTAAATTTGTAAAGTGCAAAATTTAGAACGCGTTTTCTCTTTTTTTGATGCAAATGTCTCTGCCAAACGTTCCCATTGGGATGTCGTGTCCTTTGCAAATTTTATGTTAGTTAATTAAATGTTCGATTTGTCCAAAAGCTGAGATCATCTGCTGGGAGTGCTCCATTGTTGGTGTCTATTTCCAACAATTTCTTGCACAAAAACTGTAGTAAAAGCCCTACAATTCAAACCCTGTCGGCTTTTCCATGCCATATTTCGCAATCATTCTCACCTATCTTGTACTAAACTCCGCCCTTCCCTATCTCTCAATATAATCATCCATCCCCGCCTTCTCCAGTTCATGAATTCACTTCATTTCTATTCATAAATACATTTTCACTTTCATCACTCACGTTCACAATCTGGGGGAATAATTCGATTTTATTTTTACTCCTTTCTCCTTTCTCTCACCTTTTTGTCAGGTAATTACTGCTCTGCTTTCTCTTCTTCTTCTTTCTTTCACGAGGGGAAGTTTGATTCGATAAAAAATCAATTTCCGAGCTCTTGTTAATCAAAAAAGGGACCACTTTCTCCTCTCACACACGTTCCTTTTCATACAGCCATCCACATTTTGCCATTGTGCCATTATTACTTACCGCCGGTAAAGGCTGCAAAGGCGGCGGGCTGTCTGCTTATGTCACCATTAATGATGATTGAGATGGCCAGGAAGGAACCCAGAGTTGCACGTGGAGGCATGTCCTGGTCTTTTTTTTGGAAGGGGAAAATTCCCCAGAAATTTGTACTATGACACTAAAATTAGTCAGAGATTTTTAGTTAGAGATTTTTTAAAAAAATGTTAAAATTCCCTGAATTTTTATCATGCTGGAATTTGCCAGCCGTTTATATTTATAGCAACAAAATAAGGCTAAAATTAAAATTCCAGGCATTTATTATTTACATATCGGAGATACTTGCCCTGTTTTTAAATTAATGCCCAGAATGCCCTAATTTAGCCAGTGTCCAAAGCCTTGCATTATTTGTCCTATTTTCACGCCACTTAAATTTATTCCCACACAAGGCCAATGCCCCGACATATAATTTAAGGCTTCTTAAAAATCCCCGTATTTATTTTCACATCTGGAAAATTTAGATATTTCTGCCATGTCAAATTTGCCTTATTTGCCCTTAATTGAAATTAATTAGAGCCAATCTCATAATAAATGAGGATATATTTATGCCATAAATGCCCTCCATTTCCTTTCCCCATCTTGTTGCTCACACAACAACTCTATCGGAGAAAGTGGTGCTCAAACTTTCTCGTAAAATGGAAATGATCTCGTCGTTTTTTTCTGGGTTTATTTATACGCCCAAAAAGCGGATTAATTTGTACGAGCAAAGTTTCGGATTATTTTTAGCATGGCAAATTAGATTTGTGTCTCTATGACGTACGTACGTACATGGATTTTTTATGCCTCACTTACTCAGTCAGTCCAGGCAAACGACTACTTTCTCCGTGTACCGTCCGTTTTTTGATTTCTAAAGGTAGTTTTTTCCCCCCGAGAGGGACGATAACATTGAAAGATAAGAAGAGGGGAGGAGCCTAAGAGTATGGGAAGGATATGGAATTCATATTCATTTCCTTAGAAGCTCCAGAATTTAAAGTGAGATGCACTTTCTTTTTAATCGCTGCTGTGTGGCCGTCTGTGTTTTTTTCATTTTTAACAACGTGTTTTTGGCTGTGGAGCACGATAACATTGAAAGATAGGGAAATGGGAGGAGCCTAATAGTACAGGAGGGATAGGAAACTTTCCTCTGTTCCTTTGAACCTCGAAAGTTTGGCATAGTTTAAAAAAATCCGAAATACTTTCTTTTTATCCTCCGTTTTTTTAAAAATTGCTAAACCTTCTTCTTGTTACCGTGGATCACCATAACATTGAAAGATAGGGAAAGGGGAGGAGCCTAATAGCATGTGAAGGATAGGACGCTCCCTTTGATTGTGTTCCTTTGAACCTCTAAAGTTTGTGGGGTTAGGTTAACAAATCCGAAATACTTTCTTTTCATCTTTCCTTTTTTTTAATTGCTAAACCTTCTTTTTTAAACCATGGATCACGATAACATTGTAAGATAGAGAAATCCGAGTATTACAAAGATGTCCCCGTGTTCCTTCCTTTGAACCTCTCCAAACTTTGGCATAGTTGAGGAAATAATTTTGTTCTCCAGCTTTGTCAACTTTGTTTCAGTGAAATTAATTAAAAAATTCCGAAGGATGACAGAGTGAAAGCGACATCCCTTTGTTTTAGGGTCGTCCTCGTGGCTCCCGAATATCGTGGTTTGGTTTTTCGGGATGAGACAAAGTCAAGTTTCGAGCAGAAAGAGAAAGTCAAAGTTGTTCTAAAAGGACAAAATTATGTCATGTTTTTCCTACAAAATTCAAACTATGTTAATACGTTTTTTCCGGAATGTGGAAATTTATTTCGAGAAAACCGTGAAAATCCGTTTTTTCAACAAAATTTTGAGCTATAATTTTCCAAAATTCATGTTCTTCCTACAAAATTCAAACTATGTTAATACGTTTTTTCCGGAATATAAAAATTTATTAAGAGAAAACCGTAGAAACAAACCGTGAAAATTCCGCTTTTTCAACAAAATTGTGAGCCCTAATTTTCCACAATTTAACACAGCACTTGATTAGGACTTTACATTGAGGGTTATTCCAAAAAAGTCGAAATATTTAAAATCAATTTCAGTGAAAATGTTCTAATGTTTCCAAAATCTTGGAGTCGTGATTTTCCACAATTTAACACAGCAATAGATTGCGTCCTTACATTGCGTGGTATTAACAAAAGGTTGAAACTAAAATCGTATTTCGTGACAATTTTCAAATTTTGAACAAATTTGTGAATAGTGATTCTCCAGAATTTAACACAC